TATATATATATAATACATGATGCACATACAGTATAGTTTATTATCCACTGAAACTTTCCTATGATGCTATAGCTCTTATGATGAATGTAATGATACCAAATGACTCTGTGTGCAATGCATATGAATAGTCAAAATATATGAAGTCTTCTTATTATTTATGTATTATCACTGTTAACCTTTTGGACTTAAGATTTTAAAAAAATAGCCAAATATAATTTTCAAATATTGTATGATGATTTAAGATTTGTGTGTATTGGTATTTTCTAATCTCATCTTTATAAATACAGGTTTTTCTGTCTAGAATTAGGGTTTATATTTGAAACATTTTTAGTAAGAATTAACTCTTGCATTACGCTAAAGGAAAAATTAATACTTTGGTGTATGTAGCAATAATTTTAGAAGTTCTGTATTTTTTGGAAAGTTTTCTTATTTTTATATGTTCCCTTCAGTATTTAATTTGGTATCTCAATAGAAATATTTAAGTAAATATTACAATGTGCTTAGAAGAGTGTAAATATTTTACAATGTAAATACAGCATATAATGTTAATTAATATTTTATTTGTATAGAATTCATGTGTGAAAAGACCCGATGTTTGTTCCCTTTTCCAAAATTAAAAGAAAATTATTGGTTCAAAATAAAAAAATTAAGTACTTCAGTACTGTTGTTGTATTTTGCCAATTTTTGTATAAATGGAAACAACACGAATGTCCAGGGCTGTAGGAAGTGTTAAGGCCAGTCAGACCATGGCCTGACCACTTTTTCGTGGCATGTAATGCTACAACTTATGTATTTAAACTTGCCTCTTTTAATTCAGTACATTACATTGTTTTCTTCATTAGCTGATGTTCCAGCTTCTAGCACATAAACATAAAGGGAATTTTTATTCAGAAACTTAATGAACTGAATAAATAATTTAAAAATGCAATAACAGCGATTTTTACAGTAGGAAAATTCTGATCTTAGTAATTACAATGTATTTTTTTAAAATAATTATTAAAATTAGAACTTGGCTATTGTAAAAGTTGATGTTTCTGAATTGATTACTCATATAAATACTTACAGATCAAATAGCAACTAAGAAAGAAATATTTTCTTCTCTAAAATTCTGTGACTTATGATAGTAAGTGTTACTTTTCATAAAAAAATATATTAACACTGCTAATTGGACTAGAATGAAGATGGAGATGTCTACAGTCCAGCAGAATTTTACGACAGTCACTTTGAGAAGCTACTGCGAGAATACTTGTTCCTTCCTACATCTAAAAAGACATGGGTTAGTATATTTAAAACTATTCTACTATGGATAGGTTTTTGGGTTTAATTTCAATGAATAAATATACATATTTTTTAATGATGTAAATTTTAAATTTATAATAAATAGCTTCTCACTCTTTATTTTCTTAAAAGTTTTGTGACCTGTTATTTTGTTTACTATTTCAGTCATTTTCTAATAAGCCTCACAACAGACTAGTTGTGTCTGTTTATTATATGGTCAGTTCTTAATCTATTTCTGTTATTATGAATTTTCCAAAATTCATTTAAGCTGTCCTGAGATAGAATTTTAGATGAACAGATTTTTAAAAAAGTTACCATATTGATGATGTACTTGTATTAAAAGTGATATACACACATGCACATATATATATACATATACGTGGTTACATCTAGATAAATTGGGAAGAGCACCATTTCCGTAACAAATTAGCTTGCACAGTGATAATCCAATCTTATATTAATTCATCTTTTGATTTTGTGAATTTGTTTGCAAACTCTACCTGCACAGTTCTGGAGTTAGTAGAACGAAACTTGGAGTGGTAATGGTTTAATCCTCTATAAGGGAGGATAAAATTTGCCTGTTTGGTCGGTCATCCAGGCATGAGTAGGTCATCAATTTCACTGAACCCAAATCTAACATCAAATTTTGTTTTCCTTGAACCATTCAGGAACTCAAAAGCATCATGTTTAAAATTGTTTTCATACCTCACTCACCAGGTGGTGGGACAAAACATGGTACAACTGCTCGTGTACCACAGGTGAGGTCTAATATTTTTGTTTTTTCAAGGAAAGACCCTCCTCCTCCCTATAAGGTAGCTGTAGAAGTAATTGTG